GAATCCCCCTGCTGGCCTTTTATATTCTCGTGCCTGTCAAAATACCTGAACAGCAGCTGCATCTGAGTGAGCACAGCCACTGTTTGGCCAAAAATTTTCCACTCTGCTCCTTTTCATTTTTAAATCTAAAGGGAAGGAGGGGGCTGACAGGGCCACCCACTAAGCTAATTCAGGGGTACCATCAGAAAGATCTGATGATCACATTTGCAATGCTCTGCAAGCTCCTAAGAAAAAAAAATAATAAATGCTAACTTTTTACATGCAAAAAATGTGCATATTGAATTTTTTCTTAATAAAGTGAACATATGCTTTAACTTTAAGTAATCCCCTTTAATAAAAAAAAAAAAAATCCAGACGGGTCTAAAATGTGAGGTTGATATCTGCATGTAGATCTATAAAAAACAATATGTTGCGCTCCTTCTTTGAATATTAAATCAATACATATTTCCAATAAATATATAAAAAAATCAATATTAATAAACTTGTGAAAACAGAAAATCATGTGAAATCAAAATGTCATCCCGTGCTCATCATACGACAAAATATATAAAAATTAATCAGTCTTCAATGAAAAAAATATGTGACTTTTCCCAGTGATTCAAATCAAATCAATAATTCCAGGTGACTTCCTTAGTGAGTATAAGATGTGCGCTCACCTCCAGATTAGCCTGTAACAGGCTAATAACGCTTTTTGTCCACTCAATGGGACTCATCTTTGTTGCACCATATGAAGAGTGGTGGGTCCCTCTCAGGCTGCTTCTTGTCTCCTACTCCTGCTGGGATCTTACAGTAAGTGGCTCGCAAGTTGCATCTTTGTTTTTATTTGCATGTAGGTCTTTGTTTTTCTTTTCATTATTATACAGGATTTATATAGCGCAAACAGTTTACACAGCTCTTACAACATAAGGTCAGACAGTACAAGTACAATACAAATGAATACAGGAAGGATCAGAGGACCCTGCTCATTTGAGCTTACAATCGAAGAGGGAGGGTCAAGAGATACAAAAGGTTATAACTGTGGGGGATGGGCTGATGGACAAAATACATCATGTACAGTTATTAGGTGGGGGCAGAATAGGCCTCTCTGAAGAGATTAGTTTTCAGGGATCATCTAAAAGTGGATAGAGATGGAGATAGTCGGGCACATTGGGGAAAGGAGTTCCAAAGGATGGGAGTGGCTCTGGAGAAATCCTGGAGGCGGGAATGGGAGGAGGTGACAAGGGAGCTAGAGATCAGGAGGTCTTAGGAGAAATGAAGAGAACGGTTTGGTTGGTATTTTGAGACCAGGTTAGTGATGTAACTAGGGGCTGAGTTGTGGATGGTTTTATAAGTTGTTGTAAGTATCTTGAATTTTATCCATTGGGTGAGTGGGAGCCAGTGGAGGGACTGGCAAAGAAGGGTGGCAGACACTGAACGGTTGGTAAGGTGCATGATTCTGGCAGCAGTATTCATGATGGACTGGAGGGGGGATAGCCTTTGTAAAGGTAAGCCAGTGAGGAGGGAGTTGCAGTAATCAAGGTGGGAGATGACCAGGGAGTGAGAAGCTTTGTGGTGTCATTGGGTAAGAAGGGGAGTATCTTGGAGATGTTGCAGAGGTTGAGGCAGCAAACTTTGGACAGCGATTGGATGTGGGGCCAAAAAGAGAGTACAGAGTCCAGGATTACACCTAGCACCCTGGAATGCGGGGTCGGGTTGATGGTTGAGCCGCTGATTTTGACAGAGAAGTTAGAAAGTGGTGTGGCATCCAGGCTGATATGTCGGTTTTTAATTACTAAACAATAGTAAACATTATTAACCTTTTCCCACTGATATAACACATATATGTAGTGGCAATGAAGGTGGGCCTTAAAGTGATTCTAAAGGTTCATTCTTTATTTTTTAAAAGAACAGACATGTCATGCTTACCTTCTCTGTCCACCTGCTGTCTTCTCAGGTCCCCTGCAGGTGCTCCTGTCTCCCCCCCCCCCCCCCACCCCCCCTGCCAAGTGCCCCCATATCAAGCTGTTTGCTCTGGGGGCATTCGCGCATGCTCACTCCTGAGCCACCGCTGTGTGTCCATAAGACTTACAGAGTGCATTTCAGCCCTCCCCCCCTCCTCACTGGCCAATGGCACCAGCTGCTGTCTTTATGCCACTCGTCTCTTGCGCACATCGCCGGATTGGGCTCAGGTGACCATGGGAGTGGGGGTAAGCTGAAGGTGAAGCTGCACTCAAAAGGTTTTTTACCTTTGTAGCATTATCCCCTTAGGAGTCCTGCACAGCCAGGCAACACGTATCTTCACACAGACTATATGCAAGCCGTTACAGCAAACAGTTTATTTTTTGGGAGCTAGCCAGCATCTCCTGTAGTACCACCCCAGACCCTAGATGCTCTCCTGAGCACGGGATCCAGTATCTGCCACATAAATGGTGAAACAGTCCTAGGTGGCAGGCTAATCCAGTTTCCCACTGGAGTGCCTCCTTCCCCTTTCTGGCCTAGGGGGTGCAAATCTACTCACTCATTCCTTCTCCTGTGCTGCTGGTGGGTCGGTGGCTGCTACCAGGCCTTTTAACTGGGCCGCTGCTTCTCTGCTGCACAGGTGGTCCTCGCTCTGGGGGCTGATGAAGTCCTGAGCTTTCCTCCTTCCTTCCGGCCACTCCTCAGATCCTCCCACTGCTTCTAGTCCTTTCTCCAAAGTTCTAGAGCAGGGGGAAATTCCAGAGGGCTGGTCTACAGAGCCTCTCAGCTCTGACCACAGTTTGACCCCTGCTAGCTATCACAACCAGGCTGCTACTCAGCCCTCCTAGCTAACAAGTGAGGTCTAGCTCCCCCTTACTGACTAGGAGGGTGCTACACCTTCATGCACAGAATACTGCACAGAATACTGTACATTAGGGTAAAAAAACTTCTGCCTTCACAACCACTTTAATGCCCAGCTGCCACAACAATGCATTCATATGGCTCTATGGTTCTGTGCTGACAGCACGTTTGCTGCACCTTAACAGCTCAATAAGTGAATTTGAGGGTTTTCACTTCAGTGAAATTTCACAGCAAAATAGATAACTCAGTGGCACAAAAAACTGTATGAAATCACAACTTGTTCCTAATGGAAGCTTATTACATTTAGCATGCCTGCTATTTATAGAGGCTGAGTATATCAGAAGCTGGTTAACTGTGCTCCCTATGCCTCCCATGTAACCATTACTGAGTCTAATGATGAAGATCATTGGCAGGTTATGTAAGTGTCACAAAAGATGTATTCCGTCTCTCAGGATAATTTGATTGAAGATTAAACCAGAGAATACACAAGCACAATCTTCCTGATGTAAGACTTGAAGGGAATCTCCAATAAACACTATATATGAGAACAGAAACGTCCTTTCAAGTGCAGAGTGACTGAACAGAAAATGTAGGAAATGCAGATACCTATAACCCAGCTATAAAATTGATTATAGCACAGAACACCCTCTATCCGTCATAAATTCAACCCCAATATTCCTGACATCTGTTGTTGTTGTAATTTGGGCACTGGCTCCCTTCTCCACATTTTTTGGTCTTGTCAAAAAAAAAAAATTAGTTCTTTCTGGACCAAGGTGCAAGAAATATCTCAGATTTTCACCAATTACACTCTCCCCTACAACCCTGCCTTTTTCCTACTTCATCGCTACCTGATTTCCACCAAAACCTATACAAAATCTATCCTCCATCACCTTCTGAATGCCACTAAATCTTGCATCCCTATAAAATGGAAGGACTCTGACCCACCCACAGGATCTCTGTGGCTACTAGACTTGAAATGTTCGTTTTGTTTCCTTTCGGATGTATTTGTTCATTGAAAATTTTTGTTTCATGATAAACGTTATGTTGAATTGATTTGCTTTCATAATTCATTTTGTATCTTCAGCATTCATTCCATATATTCGTTGGTCCAGGTAGATTCAAAAAAGTTTGCAGTTTTTCTAGAAGATTGCTACAGATTTGATATCGGATGGATTTAATTTGGAAGGATTTGATATATTCAGATGCTAGTCCAACCCACCAAGAGAAATGGCATGAACCATTTGGACAATATCGACTGGCATCTTGTGCATCCAAATTACCGAACTAATTCAAAAATTTAATTAATCTCCCCATGGGCCCGAACTACTATTTCATCATGTGATGTTGTCCAAATTAAATGCATGAAACGAACGCATTCGTTAATTTCGATATAACTTTTTGAAGACATTTGAATCTCCAAAACAAAACGCACATGTCTATTGGCTACACAAAGTCAATTAAACTTGTCACATAGAGGGCCTTGTCCTTTCTTCCCAAAATAAACAAGACTCCTTTGAAAAAGTTCTGGTTCTACTGGCTGGACTTCACATTTTCAGAGGAAGGTAAGGCTTTCTTGCTTGAGGACACTGTGTTCTGTTTCCTATCTGATATGTCAGATTGTCTACCCGACGTATTTCCCTTCCTCCCTTTTTGTTTTCTCTTTCCTGAATCTCATTACGTCCCCTGCCTTCCCCCTTTTTACTTACCATATTTTTCGCTCCACAAGACGCACTTTTCCCCAAAAAAATGGGGGGAAATGTCTGTGCGTCTTATGGAGCAAATATAGAGCGGCCGGCCCAGTATTTCCACTGCCGCTGTGTTAAAATACCGAGCCGGCCACTCGGCTCTTCTGTGCAGCAGAACCTGCTGCTCGTCCTACCTGTTCCTCGGTCCAGTGGTGTCCTCACCATCTTCTCTCCCTGGTGCCGGCATCTTTAGTGTAGGCACTCGGCTGTGATGGCTTGCGGCTTCACTGCCGGGTGCCCACTGCGCATGTGGAAGAAGAGCTGCGCTTTGTGAATGGTCTGGCAGTCTTCCGGGAACTGTCACGTGTCCCAGAAGACAGGGAGGGAGGACAACTCCCTGCGAAAGTGGGAGCGGGTACCTGTCAAATTCGGGTACCCACACCCCCCTTTCCACTCCCCAAAGGTCTGCAGTGTCTGGTCATCTCCTGTACTATGTCCGCAGTCTCTGGTCATTCCCTGTACTGTGTCCACAGTCTCTGGTCATCCCCTGTACTATGTCCGCAGTCTCTGGTCATCCCCTGTACTATGTCCACAGTCTCTGGTCATCCCCTGTACTATGTCCACAGTCTCTGGTCATCCCCTGTACTATGTCCACAGTCTCTGGTCATCCCCTGTAGTATGTCCACAGTCTCTGGTCATCTCCTGTACTGTGTCCGCAGTCTCTGGTCATCCCCTGTACTATGTCCGCACGCTCTGGTCATCCCCTGTACTATGTCCGCAGTCTCTGGTCATCCCCTGTACTATGTGCACAGTCTGTGGTCATCCCCTTTACTATGTCCGCAGTCTCTGGTCATCCCCTTTACTATGTCCGCAGTCTCTGGTCATCCCCTGTACTATGTCCGCAGTCTCTGGTCATCCCCTTTACTATGTCCGCAGTCTCTGGTCATCCCCTGTACTATGTCTGCAGTCTCTGGTCATCTCCTGTACTGTGTCCTCAGCCTCTGGCCATCTCCTGTACTGTGTCTGCAGTCTCTGGTCATCCCCTGTACTATGTCCGCAGTCTCTGGTCATCCCCTGTAGTATGTCCACAGTCTCTGGCGGACTGACCATTTGGAAACTCGGGCACTGCTCGAGGGCCCGGGGTCAGTAGGGGGCCCCATGAGTTGTCAATCCGCCCCTGGTCTCTGGTCATCTCCTGTACTGTGTCCGCAGTCTCTGGTCATCTCCTGAACTGCGTCTGCAGTCTCTGGTCATCTCCTGAACTGCGTCTGCAGTCTCTGGTCATCTCTTGAACTGTCCACAGTCTCTGGTCATCTCCTGTACTGTTATATTTTTTTTTCTTGTTTTCCTCCTCTAAAACCAAAGTGTGTTTTATGTTCAGGTGCGTCTTATGGAGCGAAAAATACCATAATCTATTCTTTCTTTTATTATTTCTTTTAATAACTCTATACATCCCCATCAATACACTTCGATACCCCCCCCCCCTCCATTTTGATTGGTTATCATTTTTCTCTGATAACCTGATTGCTGTCTGTGATGGTATTCATTGTTTCAGAAATTTCTATCAGCTCTGTACATCCTTGGTCTGCACACCATTTCATAACAATATATAATACCATTTTGTAATATTTGTATGCTTTTTTCACTGAAAAAAAAAAAAGAATAAAAAAAATTATTATAGCCATGTTTGCTTTTATTTCATAATAAATGATGTTGGCAAGGAGTAGAGTTTCACAATGAAAGGTTCGCCAAGACTACATTTCCCGCATTCTAACTATAGCAAGCAAGCCAGGTGAACAGGACATCAATGTCATTGTGGGTCTTCAGTATGTAACAAAAACTGAGTTGTACAGATCACACCCACATACTAAATATAAAAAGGTTAACCTAAAATTAGTGGTCACACAGAACTCAAGCACAGCTTTCTCAGTGCAGATGGGCTGGTAAGCATCTTAGCCATATGTTTTAAAGAATAAGTGCACTTTCAAACAAAATGCACCTACCTGTCTGGCCTCCCCTCCCCCTTCCCCACCTAACATACCCTGGCCTCCCCTCCCCCTTCCCCACCTAACATACCCTGGCCACCCCCTCCCCAACTGTAAACCTACTTCTGTCCCTCCCTAAAGCATATGCTTTCGGTAAAATTCTCTCTGCACTGGCCAACGTCTATGGCATCATCTCCCAAGGCCTGGGAAACTGTCCAATAGAAGCCTGTTAAAAGAGAAGAATGGCCAAAGCGTTTGTGGTCATATTTCTCTTCTGGGCTACAGGAGTGCATTTACTGTTGTTCTCCTGTGACCCAGAGTCAGTTAAAAGTGGGCCATTGCCTGCCGTCAGCTGAAGGTCAAGAGCCACTCCAGGCTCTGGAAGATGCCAACAAAATTGTTGAGATCTACCCAGCTGTCTGACTGACAGTTGGCTCTGTGTGCCAACTGCACCTGACACCCCCCCATCCCCCGCTCAGGTAGCACTGGAGGAGCAGAGCAGAGAGCGGTAACTGACAGTCACTGCTCTCTGCTCTGATCAGACCAAAAACTGAGCAGAGGTCACAAGATTTTCTGTCTTAGAGCTGACGTGGGACAGCTGTAGCATCACATTGATGCTGCAGCATAGAGGTGAGCATGAATGTTTTTTTCTTTATAACCCCAAACTTATTTAAAAATTTTAATTTTTGCTGACTAACTGGTTAGTATGCTGGAAATTTGTTTTGCTGGATTTCTTGCAGAGACACACTGGAGGTATTCAGCTGTGATTGTGCTGGGCATCTGGTGTATCCCTGTACCTTTTTAGGTTAAGTTTACACTTGCGGTTGCTGGACGGTAAATAAAAAGCGATTGAGCCGTGATGTTACCATCCCCCAATTGACACCCCCCCCAGCTAATTACTATACTTCAAGGCAGGGTAACAATTAGACTTTTAGTCATGTTCAGCAGGCAGTACCACCCACCAAACGCAACATATTCAGGTTAATGGAGCAATGCCACAACCACCATGCAGTATGGTGACGCAGGCTTTTAGGTGCTAAACAGCTCCAAAAATCAATCCACCGTGGATTGAGAGATCAACACTTATGTAAAGGAGCCCTTAGGGGGGAATGGGCTACCTCCAGGTGGACCTGCAAGCAATTTATTCATTGATATAAAAGTTCCAAGATGGAAGCCTTGTTAAAATAAGATTTAGGGATCACACTTTACCTTTGATTAGGCAATGTTGCTTCTACACATGTTTGCAAAATAATGCAACTAAATACAATAGACAATGTACATTTGTTTTTTTCTGGCTAGCTGGTAAATGCGCTGGAAAGCTTTTGTAGTGTGTGTGTATTCTGTAAAAATCCCTTTCAATGTTCACCTTACTTAAAAAATAATAAAAAAAAAAGTTATAAATTAATTAGAGCGGTGGCCATTTTTCTTTTTCTCAATAGAAGTCTGTGTCCATGTTGCAGATATTCAATCACTTCCTATCCGGTGACAGTTTTTTTTTTCTGGCTAGCTGAAAAGTGCGCTGGGAAGTTTTTTGTAGTGTGTGTATTCTGTAAAAAAACCACCAGATGTACACTTCAATGATTTTATTGAGGCCTTGCCAGGGATACATGGACACCACTCAGACAGACCCACGTGGAGAAATGGAAAGTGTATGTGTTGGCCTCAGCCCTCACTCTGGCCATGCTCTCTGACACGTTTCACCCAGCCCATTGGGGCTTGGTCACAGCTCTGAGCGGGGTGAAATGCGTCAGCAGGCATGGCGGGAGTGAGGGTTGAGGCCAACATATACACTCTCTATTACTCCATGTGGGTCAGTCCAAGCGGTGTCCATATTTTCCTGGTGACCCTACACTTCTGCAAACACGTAAAGGTTTCTTTACAGTAAGAGCTGTGAAAATGTGGAACAGACTCCCTCAAGAGTTGGTTCTGGCCAGCTCCATGGATTGCTTTAAAAAAGGCCTGGATTCTTTCTTGGATACACAAAATATAACCGGATACTAACATTTATAGGTAAAGTTGATCCAGGGAATATTCGACTGCCTCTCGGGGGATCAGGAGGCCATTTGTTTTCCCTGCAGGAGCAAATTCGATCATGTTTTGCTGGGTTTTTTTGCCTTCCTCTGGATCAACTGTGGGTATAGGATTATAACTTTTTTTTTTTTTAATGGTTGAACTGGATGGACTTTTGTCTTTTTTCAGCCAGACTAACTATGTAACTATAACTCCTGGATGGTGTCAGGACGCCTGCTCCCACATCCAGTGCATCAGCGGGGTTACCTTATACTGTCTGATTTGGAGTGGCGCCGCAAGCCTGTCACATTAGCCTGTCACATTAAATGATCAATTTCTTTTCTAATCAATCTATTGCCAGCAATCCAATTGATCGATATGTCACACATGTGGGAAGTGGATTTTGATCGCTAGTTAAGATGTGAGCATAACTTGCGATCGTAATTTAGCAATCACATCTCTGTTTCCACAGTGTAATCTAATTGCTTGAAATACAACCGTATCCATAGTATCTCAGCACTACCAACATATGCAAAATGATCGATCATTTTTCACCCTGACCGATCAACTGAATTTAATCAAATCCAATCCAAAGTGAATATAAATCGGTCGGAAAGGAAAGTCATGGGTTTTCAATTGTTTGCAGATTTGATCATTTTTGTTTTTTTGTTTTTTTGTATTTCCTTTATTTATCATAAGGATTGCACTACAAAGCAAAATTAAATGCAATGAAAATACATACATAATACAAATGCGAGAAGAATAATGACAACCAGTGTATGATCCAAGAATTTTCAGTGACAAAGAGTGGGTCGGGATGTCATAGACGTGACTAGTGGTAACTTAACCGAATCTAATTGCGGCAAAAAATGTAAGACAAACATTGATACAGTGATGTGGCAAGAGGAACGGCCTGGTATGCCAATCTCCTGACAGTGGTAAAAACACTTGTGAGAGCCCACATGGAAGAAAAATGTATTTGAAATATATTTTCAAAATATTCATCCCAAATATATTGCCCTATATATTTGAAATGCTACAATTGTGGCCCATATTTATTATATATATATATATATATATATATATATATATATATATATATATATACACACTGCATGTTGAAATGTGTTTTTTATTACAAAATATATGAAAAATATTTGTAAAAATACTTTTCAAATATACTGTATGTCTTTAAACATACAAATCTACATTTTTGGAATGCATTAACAAATATATGTAAAAATATATGTTAAAATTACTTTTGTATATGTTAAAAAAAATCTGCTAAATATTTGAAAAAATATTTTTGAAAATATATATTTTTTAAATATATTCTTCAGATTTTTTTTAACATATAAAAAAGTCATTTTAACATATATTTTTACATATATTTGTAAATGCATTCCAAAAATGTAGATTTGTATTTTTAAAAGCATACAGTATATTTGAAATGTATTATTAAAAATATGTTTCATATATATATATTGAAGTATGTTTTGAAATATATTTAATATGGCCAAAATTGTAGCATTTCAAATATATGGCAATATATTTGGGAAGAATATTAAAATGTTTATACTTGGAGGTGGGTGGAGAAGGCATGAAGGGGTGGGGGGGGGTGAGAAGGGGAAGAGGGGAAGAACCTCTGCCAGGAGAGAAAACTGTGATGGCCAGGAGTTCAATCAAGTTGTGCGCATGCAGTAGAGTAGGTGTCAGTATAGACAGAATACTGCCAGGGTCTCCAAGTGGATTGGAAGGTTTATTCCGTATTATGCAAAGTGACAGTTAGGTCCTCCATGTGCCGAATGTCATTCACTTTAGAGAACCAAAGAGACTTAGCTGGGGGGCTAGTTTGCTTCCAACAGAGCGAGATACATTCCTTTGCTGTGTTAAGCAGATAGATGATCAAAGATGATTTGTATTTGACGGGTCTCTGACAGATGCAGCAAGCAAGCCGCAGGGTTGTCCAGTAGATCGATTTGATTGTTTTGATTGAATCGCACCGATTGACTAAATATTGAAGTGTGTATGGCTACCATAACAGAGGGAATGTCGATAGGTACAACAATTATTGGCATACAAAAAAAACAGACCAAT